CGGGGGCAGGGGGGCCTTCAGCGATGTTCACAGGGCAGAGATGTCTGTAACTGCGGGGATCTGGGCAGCTTCTAGAGAAACTCTGGGAGATAAACCTAGCTGGTAAACACACTGGGGCTCCCTAAAGCGAATGACGAGAAAGATCATCCTGAAGTGTGCATGGAAGTAGCAGAGCTCACGGCATACTTCACTGGGAAACACCCAGGTAGCCTGGGGTGGAGATTTTCCAGGCTGCCCTTCACATTAAGGGTTTCAGGGCAAGAACACATCACGCACTCTGTCATAACCCAGTGGAGTTTCTGATTACCAAGGAGTAATAGCTGTTGTGGAAATAAGTACCACTTCCCAGGGAGCTGCGAAGGCTCTGGAGACGGAAGGGTCTCAGGCAAGTTACTCTTTTGCTTCTACTTCCTGATCTATCAGTGAGGGCTATAAACTTCCTAATTTACACGATGGTTGTCAAGTGGAGACAAAGTAATTTCTAGCACAGAGCTTTACACATACAGCGAATGCTCGGTCTCCGTATGTGTGAGTTACCATCTTACTATTATGGAATAAAGGCGGCCTCTGCCTCATTAAAAAGAAATAAGATGAAGGAATATTCAACCAATTAAAATGCAAATAGTTTTCAAGAGGCCTTCCCCGTATTAAGTGGTTTACACACATTCCCACAGCTCATATGGTGACCCTAGTCTCTGACCCACAGCTCTCTGATAATGTAATATATAGATATATGTTTTGTCTTTTTGAGGCAGTCTCACCATGCAGCTCAGGCTGGTTTTGAGCTCAATTTGTAGTCCAGGCTGATCTTGAACTCACAGCAGTCCTCCTGCCTTAGCCTGCTGAGTTCTGGGATTGCAGGTATGCCCTACGATGCCTGGTTTATAAGCTATATTTTTTTTTTACCAGTAGGCAGTAATTCTTGCATAAGCAAAGACAAGGGACCAACTCTTCCCCTCTTGGCATCTTGGAAAGGGTGAACACTCTAAGAGATGGTTCTGCTGCTAGATCAGACTGCAGCTGAGAGAAGTGGAGGCCCTCACGAGGACTCGGGCTGCGAGGTGACCTTGACTGTTTCCTCTGTCCCACACAAACAGCACTCACTCCACTGCCGTGAGAAGTACAGCAAGCTTGATCCCCCAGGAATCTTTCCAGGCCTCCCAAGTGTTTTCGCAGAAGAGCCAGCTGGTACTGGGCAAAAAACGTGAATAACAGTCACCTCCACATAGCAGTGAGTATTAAGGCTGTTAAATATTTTTCTCCTGATTTACTTGAGATCTCTTGAGGCAGGTAGTATTGGGATCCTGACCTTACAAATAGGAAACAGAGGCTTAAAGAGATGAAATAGCTCACCTGCATTCCATAAAAGGCAGGATTTGACTCCAGTTCTCGTTGGCCACACTGTCCTCACCCACCCATGGCTTTCTCCATCTTGTAGGCCTTCCTTTGTGTGCCTGCTTAAGTATCCAAAGCCCCCATTTTTCTCTTTTACCCCTTAAAATGGTCTTACATCAGTCATATGCAGCTAAGTATATTGCTTAGTTGCTAACTAACTCTCTGAAGATTATTTGTACTTAAGCCTTCCAGCAATGGGCTGGATCTGAACTTGTTGGCCCATGAGATTGGACTGCTGAATTTTCAGAAGTTGGTGAAGAGTAGATATCATACTGGTAACTTGTTATGGCCACAATAGGAGTATTTACACCAGCGAAGTTGGCAGACACTAGGAATTGGTACTCCGCAGCCCCCTCCCCCATCACAGTGACTGCTAGATTAACGTTGAACTGCCAGGTCCTTATCTCTCCTTGTCCTCTGTGGAAGCATTTCAGGCACCAGAGACTACTTTGTGAGGAGCTTTGTGGGCACAGGGGAGAGCCCTAGGACATGCCTGCCTGCGAGTCACCCTCTGCTGACTTCGGATCCTTCTGAGCCCTGCTACAACAGTATGGAAAAGCTTCCCTGGCCTCCTGCGAGCACTCACACAGCACACTTGCTAAGAGAAAGAGGCAGCTGACTCCCCACTTAGGTGCATGATAAAATAAAAGGCTCATTGTGTTATTAGGACCTTACGAAGAGGCAAGGATGATTAAAGGTAGTGTGAACACTTAGAAGAACTGCAGGATTTGTTCTTGAGTATGTAAGGAGTACTTTTTCACATGATGTTACAAATTCACAGACAATTATAACTAAAAGGAACATAAATTTATAAATGCAAAGGGAGAAAGGAAACTGAGATCTTAAAAAGGCCCAACCTAGGATGATGTCATTTATTTTTACTTTATTTCATTGCTGTTGTTTTGAGACAGGATCTCACTATGTAGACCAGGCTGGCCTTGAACTCATTATGTAGCCCAGGGTTTGCACTCATTGCTCTTTCCTGCCTTGGCCTCTTGGATGCTGGGATTATAGGCATGCAAGAAAGGATCATGCAGCTTACGATGAGTGTGTACTTCCCCACAAACTTAGAGTTAGCCACAGAATAGGATTTCAGGAACCTGAAGTTAGCTTGGTTTTGAAGAAATCTTAAGTCTATGCCATCACTTGAATATGCACCTGATCTGCCACCATTCTATTTCCTTTAGAGGCATGGCAGTGGCTTTCACTAGGCACTGAGTAGGCGACAAGACCTATACTAAGAACTTTATATATTAAGCTGAACTGTATGAAACTGCCACTGCCTGAGCATGTCTTATCTGACACACTGTCATTTCAAAGAGTTCAGCCCTGACACATTTATCCCTCTGAATTGTGATCTTCTGATGAAATGGATGCTCTCTCTATAAGCACTTCACAGATGCAAAGGCCAGAGCACTGAGGCTTTAATGCAAAAGCTAAAAGATGCTCTCCCCTGAGTGTGATGCTATTACTCACGAAAGATGCACAGCACCCTGTTGTGTGCACACTGGTGGTCCTAAGCCACGCAGCGTGGAGGCAGCTTCCACAGCGCCAATTCACATGTTCTCAGGGTCCAGAGAAAACTTTCTGACTCATAAATTTCTATGACATTTAAAGAGGAACTTAGAAAAAAGACAAAAACTTTGAAAGATGTTACTTAAGAATTTTAAAGAAATTTGATGTTGTAAAGAAATTTGTGCACGTATCCTCCATACCCTATGTGGACACTGTAGATGCTATAGCCAAGGGCTACCCAAAAAGAATTAAATATCTCCCAAACTTTCATGAGGCTCACACGAGAAGGTGGGGTAATGTTTGCATTAGTTATATTCAAATTACAAGCAGTGCAGTCCTGAATCAAGACTGCTTGTTATATAATTATTTGCAAATAAAATGCTGACTTCACTATCAAACCGTATGAATAGCAACGCTGCTCAGAAGCTGCTAAATAAATGACATGATGCCACATTGAGTCAGGAAAGCAATTTACTAAAAGCAGTAAAATGGTCTTTGAAAAAAATGTAAAGGCATGTGACTGTTCTTTCAGTATGAAACATGAACTTTAAATGTCTCATTTATTAAAAAACACCCTGATTGATGTCATGCCATGTGTGAGCTCTACATGAGGAATTGCCCAAGTTCAAACCTTGGCTCCTGGCCACCCAGCACCTGCCTAGCACATACTTAATTCCATGCGCCTTTTGGATATCTTTTTTTTTTTTTTTTTTTTTTTTTTTTTTTTTTTTTTTTTTTTTTTTTTGTATTGGGGACTGAACTCAGGACCTTGCACTTGCCAGGTCCATGTGCTTTTTGATTCATTGATAAGTAAGGCTCAGCAAGAAGCTACTGAAGATGACTTTACTTCTAAGAGAGAGGAGGCATTATTTTACTTGCAACTTCAAAAGGTCAAGCTCCAGAGGCCCAAGCCCAGCTCGACCTCCCCAGGCTCCCCTTCATTAATGTTCCAAGCCGAGGCCTCCAAACTCCAAGCTCATGCCTGCATCCAGCAGGCCAGACACCAGCAGGAATCCGAGTACCTCTGTCTCCGAGGGACTGCCAAGCATGAGTGCTAGTTCCCCTTTGGTGACATGTAAGTGGTAATCTCTGCTCTACTTCCCTAATGAAGTACAAGGAATACAATGATCTTGTACAAAATCAAACATGCTTTGAGAAAAGGCTCCAAAAGACAAGACCTGAGCTACTCCAGGGATTCTTAAAGAAGGAACGCCCCGTTCCTGGTTGTTTCCAGTTCTTTCCTTTTACACAGAAAAACCCTGAAGTAGGAGGCAGACATTAGTCCAGATGCAGTCACTCAGTGAGAAGCAGATTTTGATTTCCTGACTGCTCAGGAAGTCCATTTTCTACCAATCTACATTGTTATGTTTTTCACTTTTTCTTTTGCTCTCACTGATGCTATAGGACATGAGAATGTCTTTAGATACACCACAGGTCTCGTCTCACTAAGCCACCATAATCCTTCAGGTAAGGACTGCAAAATAAGTGTTATGTGATATACCTAGTCTCCTGGGACATTTTCCAAGGGATAGAGAGGCATGGTATTATGTACACTTTGCAAATTTCAGATGATTAAATGTCTGGGGATTATTATTTCAAGGTTATCAGGCAGCGATAACCATCGAAACAAGCAGAGTTGAATTTATAAAAATGTTAACATTGAATTTGTCACTTAAACATGCTAAATACTATTTCTTCTACTGTATGATAATGAAATCTAGCTAGATTATTCCTTAGGTCCCATCAGATACTAATATTTTATTAAGCCATGACACATAAAATATAGCACATTTCATATGAAGTTCAAGTTCTACAGAATAAAAATTTGCCACATAAAATATTATTAAGACTTGAAAATTAAACTTAGCTTTATAGATGATGGTCCCCAAGTTATGCTGCTCAGAAGCAAAACTGCCAAGCACAACACCTTGCCTCTTGATTCCTTTACTCCTATTACACCGTGGTGGTTACACCCAGCATATTTGCGATCCATGTGTTCTATTTCATTCTGTGTATACGCTTTGCCATCAGCCTGGTCCAAACATAAAATACTATACAAAAAGAGAACACAGAAGAAAGCAACTACATACCCCATGCCGATCCTCGAAGTATGCCAGGCTGGCTTTGGTCAAAACAAAGAAGCGGACTTTAAAATTGGAAGGAGAAGTTCTTCTCTTCTGTTGGGATTTCTTGATGAGCTGTTCTTCTAGTAGGATGAAGTTGTTCATGATCCAATTCTTGAAAAGTGATGCGTTGTAAGCATCACCCCTCAGCACAACCAGGGGAAGCAGCCTCTGAACCAGAAGTGCGGCAGGAGGCAGTTGAGCTTCAGAGAGTCTCTCAAAGGCAACCTGCCTCTCGCGGTATCTTTCTATCAACTTGTAGTTGACAGCGCCAAGCTTCTTTTTTGATATCAAAGGCCACAACCACATCCTTTCAAAATTTACAAAACCGAGAGGCGCCTGTGAAAAAGTGCATATACTCTTTGCTGCATGAGTTGAAATGATACTTGAAGAAACATAAACTCTGTTATGTATTAAGGCTTAGATTTCAACTGTTATAGATCTTGGCTTAGCCCCTCCAGTGGGTAAGGCACTGGCACAAGGGATAAGAGCATGTTGTCCACCGCACACACATTGTGTATACATTTTCTGTTGCTCATGTAACGAATTAAGACACAGACGGTAGCTCAAAGTAACACCAGTTGACTATCTTACAGTTCTGTTGTTAGGGAGGATAAAGTGGGTCTCTGGGCTAGAACTGGTCTGTGGTGCTGTGATCCTTTCTGGAGGACTGCTGGGTGAGCTCCGTGTCCTTGGCCTCCTGGCTGTTTGCAGGGGACCCATATTGCTGAGGCTCTTGGCCTTTTCCTCCTTCTTGAAAGCCAGCATCAGTGCACTAAAGTGCTGCTTGCCTTGTGTCCCCAGAACCTCTTCTATGACCCTCTTCCACATGTAAAAGTCCTAATTGCACAGGGTCCATGTCATCTGTGCTCATGTAGGATGGCCAGCCTAGTTTAAGGCCAGCTGATTAGCACCCAAGTGGCATTTGCTACTTTAATTCTCTTCTGCCATGTACCCTAACATACAAGATGGGGGTTAGGGTAGGGGTGTCTTTAGTCAGGGCCATTATTCGCCCAGCCATAGCTAGCAATGAGACTGCAGGCCAACACCTCCAGGGCTCTAGGCATCCACTTCTGCCCCTATGAAAGAGACTAAGAGGCCCTCCCAGCAGAGACTGCAGGGCTCCTCTTGGGTCAGCCTCACGCCACAGCTCGCCCAGTTCTCACCCAGCCCTCTCCTGCATGTCCCTGAAACCACTGTACAGGCTGCTCATTCTGCCTGAAAATATCTTCTTGCCTTTTCACTTCCTGGTTAGCTCAACATTATATAGTCAGCTTTGGCTTGCATGGCAGCTCCCTGGGAGGTCCTCCCGGTTCTTCTAAGGCCAAGCCACCAGGCTCACATACACTTACAACTTTCTCTTCCTACCTCTTCTGACATGCTATGGAGAATGGTTTTGGACTGTTTGTCCCCTCATTAGTTTAGAAACTCCATGGGGGTAAGAAATGTGTGTGGTTTTGCTCTTTACTATATACTTGGTGCCTCACACAGAACTCAGCACTCAGAGTATGGTTAGAAAAATATACTGATGGAGGGTTGGCAAGATAGCTCAGTGGACTAAGTTCCTGCTTAGGCAATGTAGGGACCAGGTTCGATTCCCTGTACCAAATGCTGCACTGGCCCTGCCCCTGGGTGCAATGAGACAGCGATTAAGACTGGGTGGGGTGGCACATGCCTGGAATCCCAGTACTGGGGAGGCTGAAAACAGGAGGATCACTATGAATCTGAGCTGCCTAGTGAGACCCTGTACAAACACACACACACACACACACACACACACAAAAAAAAAAAAAAAAAAAAAAAAAAAAAAAAAGAGTGACAGTAGTTCTTAAAATATGGCCTTGAGGTAGAGATTGCTGTTTTCCTCAATATGTATTTTCCTCTTTTGAGAATACAAACACCCTGATGTTTGTCTGGACTTCTGGTCAACCAGAAGAGACCTATATATTTCAGCCTGTATTGTAATTAAGTGTACTCATGTGACTCTTTTCTGATCAACAAAATCTTCATATCCTTTTCTTCTTTTTATCCTTCTCCTGGCTGTTGAGAATGTTGATGTAATAGCTGGAGCCAGAGCAGCTATTCCATATGACGAGGTAGGTGGCGCATGCTGGTGACAAAGGAACATACATGAGAGAAAGCACGTACACTCTGGATGACCATGGAGCTTTCTGTGTTAGCTTTGGATCACTTTTATTTAATATTAAAAAAAATCCTGCCGTTTTGCATTTCTGTCATTTGCAGCAAACCTAATTCTAACTAAAACTATGTGTTCATGACTTTCTCAAACCACACTGTAAATTTCACTGGGAAGGCTAGGTTTATACCATGTTGGTTTAAATAAAAATATTTATAGACTTCCTGGAACATTCTCACCTAGGAAAACAAAACAGCTATTATAATAGTTCTAGAGCCTTTTATTTCCCAACTCTCTCTGGAACACAATTATAAGTAATTTTATTGTCTTGCTCATAGAGCCTTCAAAACCACTTGCTGGGTTTTGTCTCTATTCACTCCTCCATGAAACTTTAGAAGAGCCAATGTTTTCTCCATCCCTTTAAGGAAAAATATAGGCACTTTTTTTTTTTTTTTTTGGTTTATAAGTTCAGTCCACAGGAGACACATTCGAAGAACTCCTACTGGCCGAAGATAGAATGATTTGGGTTTCAAGAGGAACAATAACTGTAGGAGTTCCTTCCTGGTTCTCGTCTCAGTCCAAGAAGTTAATATTTGTAAGATATGTTATTGGAATCCCACCAAGTTAATTCCAATCTACCACTCTCAGTGCAACCCACGGTGAAAGTAATGACACTAAAATATATTTATAATTACTGGGGAGCCAAGGGGCCCTAAGTCCAGCCATGAAGATGGCTTTCCAGAACCAAGAGGCTGACCAAGGGCCTCACCCAGTTTTATTCAGTGGAGGAGTGGTTTGAAGAGGAATGACCGAGAATTGTGGGAAGTAGGTGACTACTATGAGTTGAGCTAGGTGGGTGGCCTGCATTTACCTCTGTCATATGCAGAGAGGATATGTGAGCAAGTAATCTATTTTATGCTATTGAGATAGTATCTAATGTTTTGGGGGTCTGGTGCTTCAGCTTTGATGTACTTTTTCAAAGCCTCAGGAATTCATAGTCTCTGTCTTGAGGCTCAATTCCAGCTGGCGGCACTAAGCATTGTCTCTTGTTCTTTCTCGACCTGGCTCATAGTAAGGAGCAGCAAGTGTAGGTTACCAGGGAAACACACACACCACCTTCAAAGACTATCACCAGCACCTCAGCTAGACCAATATGCATTGCTTAAGGCCAAATGGGAGGATAAATAGAAGTCCTAGCCAGCTCTGTACACATCAATACAAGAAAATAGGGTCAGGCTCAGTCAAAATGGAGACAGTCACTCTTATTTCAAGGAGAGCTGTTCACAACTGCAATAAATTAAAGACCAGCAAACATGTTAAAACTGTGAGTTTATAATATAATTGGAAAAAAGTCCAAACCACTGATCATATTTAGGAGCTAGTGAAGATCTAACTTACTACTGTAAAAGCTGAGAACAAAACAGTCCTGTATTTTCCAGATTTTGTGAATATTTATATTTCAGTTTTGTAATCAAATATCGAAGGAGGTAAAGTCTTTCTTTGGAGAAGTGAACAAATGAAGGAGGAATAATAGGACATTCCAACTTTAAAAGCCTAAGAAAACAAAAGGTCCAGACAACAATCAGCAGTGGCTGCTAAAATCACCGCGTGCAAAGCGAGTGGGAAAATACACCATCCTTGTGAGAGGCCGACAACACTGTAACACACTGTTCCTCCTTACCATCAAAAAAGAGAGACAACCAGACATGGAGTGTCTCCTGAAGTGGTGCAAGAGGAAGTACACAAACCACCCCCACACGTCTTGCAAGAAAGAGAAGAACGCAAACATGAATCTAACCAAGGCTCTACATCTGAGTTTGTAGGAAACATAAGACATAAAGAGAACATGACAAATGACAGGATGGAGTTATACAGTGGTATGTCCGGAAGACACAAAACACCAGAGACAAACGACCTGGCGTCTGCAAGAAACAAGCTGGAAGGGAACCTACGGATGAAAAAAACAGCTTTATCATACCTGTGAGGACTCAGGTTTCAGGGCAGAAAACAAACCATGGACACAACTGGGAAAACATGAAGAGCTGATACCTTGTGATACAGATAAATACTAAGTTTTAGGGAATGACAATGACACTGTAATCATGTTAAAGGGGAATCCCTATTTTGTGCGAAAACATACTGAATGGTTGATAAACCCATCAATGCCTGACATTTGCTTCATTATAATCCACTAGGGAGGAAGGGACAGGCAGGGAGACAAATGAAAAATGCTCCTGAGTTGGCAGTGACTCAAGCTGAATTACTGAACAAATGCGAGGGTTCATCACTCCATTCTCCTTATACTGACATATGCTTGAAAGTCTTCTTATCTGAGTTGAGAAAAGACAGTCCAGTTCAGTGTTGCTATCAATATTCCAGCACATAGTCAGTGGAACGCTTCTCTTCTGTGTCAGCCCGGGTCTGTCCCAGGATTCAAAGCTCAGTGCCTTTTGCACCATATCCTAATCTCTGCTCGTCTCTCATGCACTCCTCTGATTTCTAGGCTCTGGTTGGAGAGAAGAAAGGAAAAGGAGCAAGGGGTGAAGCACCCAAGGGAGCTACAGTAGTAATGTGCTATATAGGGCCAGGCTAGATCGACAACTGCTGCTTTTCTTTCATGACACATGTTTCTCTAGTGTTTCGTTGTTTGCACAGATGTTTTCAGCTGAGGGCTTCCGTAATTGTTTCCCTTATGGGGGACATCACTCTAGGTGGCCAATGAACTCAATCTTCAGACCTTAGGTGCTGCTGACCTCTGACTGCTTTAGATCTCACTGCCCACTAGAGTGTCCTCAGGGTGAAATGGCCTTGAAAACAAGCCACATGCCATTTATTCCTTCCCATAGCCCCATGAAAAGCTCAGGCATTTTCATCCTGCTGTTGAAGGTCAGACTGCTTGTCCCAAGAACAGCCCCCTTTCCCTTAGGCAGTGGAATAAGCAGCGCTCACCATCATCTGTTTCCAGGCAGGAGTTAGACACAGACCTTGTATCTCCAAGGCTCTGAAACTCATACCAGGCTCAGTGTCATTCCCCCAAGCCTCTATCCCTTGATTCCTGGTGGGCACATGCATCCCTCCCCGGAGCCCACC